CAATGGTTGGGAGCTTCGCAAATTCGATTCAAAGAAAGTTCGAGGGCGGCGGGCACTGCCAATGCGTCACTGGGAAATGAAAGAGTTGCGGCTAGCCAGGCGTTTTCTGTTCAGGTTGGTTCAGTGCAAAGAAGAAACGATAGAAGTGACCTGCCCATTGAAAATTTTGCCATTTCTTTTCAAAAAGAAGCCGAGTATATTTGCACGGAAGCTACAATGGACAGGGAAAGAAGTAAAATGCATGGAAGCAGGGATACCGTGCCAAGTCGAAATTATGCCATATCCAGATCAACGGAAATGGTTTCTGATTTGGTTATTAGAAAAACAGGAGGTGGCTCTACAGCTGACATGGAGAAGGAAAAATGCGGTGAAAGAAGTTTGGTTTCAAATTCTGTTGTACCTGGGCCTGACAGGAGGAAAGTTCTTGGTGCAAGAACCTTGGCTTCGACTTCCCTTGCTACAGCTCAAAGAAGAAAGGATGTTTTGGGCATGCCAGTGGAAAATCTCTCCTCCATTCATGAAAAGACCGAGATTCATATACATCAAAAGGTTGAAAAAAAGAATAAAACTCAGGTAAAGAAAGCCGAGGATAAAGATAAAATCACCAAAGAGAAGAAAAAAGAGGAGAATATATTGGAGAATGCTGAAGCTAGAGTGGCTAATAAGTTCAGAAACTATGGAAAGAAGGATCAAGTAGATACTCTAAATTGCAAGCCGTTAGCCCCTCATAAAGACAATGCAATTGGTACTGAATGTGTGGATGGAACTATGAAAAAAAGAAAGAACCTCGACACCAATGGCTATATAAAAGGTTAGTTAGTTTTCCTCTACTTCTAACAAATCTGTCTGAGCAACGTGGTTCTTCTCTATATGCAGTGACTGGTTTTATCTCCTGTAATTCACAGAAAATGATGAACGGCCTGGAAAGATACCAAGGCTATGGGAACTACATCTCACGGCTCCATCTAGCATTTCCTTGAGACCAGATCGATTATTAGAAAACAAGGAAAGATTGATAAATGGCAACGCAATTTCCAAGTATCTGAGCCAGATCTACACCGTTCCGAAAATGGTGGAATTGCCTGAGCTTGATGACCAGGAATGGCTTTTCAACCTCCATGATTCTCTGCAGAAGTCTAAAACAGAGCTCAAGGCTGATAAAATACCTCAGTTATTTGCCCAGGCAATGCGGATTGATTCGGCTGATATATTAGCTCTGCCGTATGTAGTTCCATTCTGATGCAGAGCCCTGCATTGGGTACCCATATTCACGCCCATCAATATCTTATATTACTGCTATCCTCAGTACGCAGTGTGCAGCATTTAACCACGCTGCGACTACGGTAAATTCTGATGTGGCTTGAAAGTTTGCAATCAGAGCAAAGAGCAACAGGCCTCAAGGTCATCAATCCATGGCAGACTGCATTCAAAAAGCATGAAAAGTTGGTGGGTATAGGTGGGTACGGCATCCCGAAAGTCATCATAGATGGGCGTGGGTGGGCGAAGCCCGTTCGAGTAAAGCATGGTTACCCAACCAAGACCCCATATAGGGCTTTGTTCTGATGCTTCTTCCTGATGTCTAGAGACGATGATTTCTGTTTTCTTTGGTTCTATTCTTTCAGTTATGTGTATTAGGGTTTTATAAAGGAAGTTTGCATTACATTGGCAATACTAATATTGCATTGAAGAACGGACCTTGAAAAGGCTGGAGTGATCTTTACCAATTACATCACAATTTTGATTTTTATTTGTAAATCTTTTTAGCAGAAGAAAATGTACAATAGAAAAGAGATAAAATAGGTTACTGTTATTCATTTAAATCATGATCTGCATCAACTTGTTGATTTTTACTGATCCAAGCTGCTCCATGGCAGCAGAGCAGAGCAGCTCCTGTAAGTTTATTTGTTATTTTTACATCTACAATATCTGTTTGGGTGTTTTTTTTTTCTTGCTTCTAAAAAAACTTTGTACTAGAAAGCTATTTTTTATAATAATTTTAAAAAATTATTTTATTTAATTTATGCTAATGTATGTAGAAATTGCAATATCTTAACTATTTAATTTAGTTAAGGTATGATATCATGTTTTTTAAAAAGAATTTGTGATAAAAAGCTGCTATAGAAGGCAGTAAGAAAATTGTCTCCAATA